TAGACTTTTTTGTAAAAAAAGCAAAAGTTTTGGAAACTAATGATTCAAGTGAGCAAGAAACACAGTCTGAATTAAGTCTTGCCACTTGTAGCAAGGAAGTGCTGGCATCCAGTGATTCTGAAACTCTTATACGTAAGAAACTACAGACATTGAAAATATTGGAATTGTTGATATTGGGAGTTATATAAATAAGAGCAGTATATCGGAATTGGAGAGGTACAATGCTTTGACAAATGCTTTTGTTCCTGAAAAAAATTTTCCGTATTCAGTCCATAGAAAGAACAACAACTAAGTTAAATGTTATCTTTCTCTAAATCATTTTACCTCATATACATGGTTAAGTTTTTCGATTAGTTTAAATGGTTTGTTATATAGATATTGGGTTTTGTTTGCAAAATTTGGCGGCATCCATAAAGCAACTCTTCAAAAATTTGATACAGTCCCTTTACAAAAATACTCAAAGCTCTTTGGAAAAGATGGTGATTTGCTAGCTCACAATAATTCAAAATATCACGTAGAAGCTAAGATTTTGGTAGAAAATTTTACTAAAACATATAATAATCCAGCTAATGAGGTTATTAATATTTTGGATCATAAACGTTTAGAACAAATTGAAGAAAACAGAATGAAATTAAAAGCAATATTAAACACAGTTCAATTCTTAGGACGACAAAATATACCATGTAGAGGGCATGCTACACAGTCTGAGCTTACTGAGTCATCAGAAATAATTGAGGGTAACTTTAGGAGAAATTTTGAGGTATCCAATAAATTCGTGTGGTGACGACGTGATTCTCAAAAATCACGTCGAGACAGCGTCTGCTCGTCAAAAGTATATTAGTGCTTCTACTCAAAATATACTCATTAAGTGCTATGGAGATGAAATATTATTTTCAATGCAAAATAAGTCTATAACGCATAGGTGGCTGTGAAAAATTAAAGCCATGACAATTGTTTTTTTAATCACAGCTGTCAGAATACGTTTAAAATAGTTTTGGGTAGTTAAGGTTTTCAAAATGGGTAGAGGAAAGGTTATTAGTGAGAAAATTCGGTTACTGATAATTAATTTTTTTAATTCTGGGAAATCAAACTTGGAAATTGCAACTTTGTTATACTTATCGCGGTACAGTGTGAGAAATATTGTTAGAAGATATAACGTAACTGGTTCAGTTAATATTAAGCCACGATATGTGAAAAAAGTAATTTCACAAATGCCGACCGAAGAGCATTAAGAAGAATAATCGTGTAAAAAAAGGCGTGCCAATTATTTACAATTAAGTGCTCTGTGGAATGACGCTGTTGGAAGGAGAATTTCGAGGTCCACAACTCATAGAGAGGCCCACAAACTGGGATTTAGCACTTGCAAGGTAAGTTTTCTTATAAAAAAAAAGTGAAGTAACCCTAAAGTTGTACAACTTGTTTATAGGCCAAAGAAAAGCCACTATTAAGTCCACTGCATAAGAAAAATCGGCTTAGATGGGCTAAAGAACATAGACAATGGACACGTCAACAATGATGTGCAATACAATGGAGTGATGATGCCCGATTCGAAGTTTATGTTGGTGACAGTCGCAGTAGAGTTATTCGCAAAAAAAATGAAGTATTCCATGTTGACTGTCTGAAGAGAAAAGTGAAATTTCCAGCGTCCATTATGGTCTGGGGCAGTATGTCATCAAAAGGAGTAGGAAAACTTCATTTTTTGATGGTAAATCTGGATACAAACAAATATTTGGCAATTTTAGAAGAATCGCTTTTACCAGTGATGGAAGAATGTTTGACATCCGGCCAAGATTTTGTGTTCCAGCAAGATGGTTCAGCGTGCCATACCTCAAAAAAGGCTATAAAATGGATGGAAGAAAATAATGTACCACTTTTGAAATGGGTTTCTAGCAGTCCAGATCTGTCACCTATTGAAACTTTGTGGCACGAGATGAAAAAGGTTCTACGACAACATCCTGCTCGTACAATCGCTGAACTGAGACAAAAGCTTCAAGAAATATGGGATTGTTTTACACCAAATTTTTTCCAAAACTTGGTTAACACTATGCCCCAAAGAATTTCAGCCGTAATAAAAAATAAAGGTGATGCTACCCAATGGTAATCTTTCAATTATTGTTGCTTTGTTAACTTCGCGCATTTATTCGCACATTGTTTATTTGTTCAGATGTTCTATTAGTTATAGGTCTAAGTGATTTCAAATATGTATTTTTTACGACTAGAGTGTATCTAAAATGTTTTTGAGAAAATAAGTTGTTTTAGAAGTAAATAGTTTCTTCATGTTTAGTTTATAAAGGCATATTTTGGTACAAATCTTGAAGTGGGCCAACTGAAGTGGGAAGGGGCTCGTATTGGTAGCAGCACAGACACATGTAGTGTCATGTTGTCGGATCAAAAGGCGGAAGTCTCGGAGTTCCAAAAGTCCCTAAAAAATGCATGTGCCCATGTTATAGTCACTCTTTAAATTTATCGATTTCAAGATCAAGCAATAATTGTGTTGGTATTATAAAGGAAGTAATTAATTTTTTTAAAGCGTCTCCCAAAAGACAAAGTTTTAGTATTATCTAATAATAAATAATTAATAAGTCTTTGTAAAACAAGATGGGCCGAACGTCACGAGTCCGTTTTAAGATTCAAACTATCATTTGAAAAAATAGTTGAATCATTAGAACTTATTTCAGAGTGGAAGGATAAGGAAAGTTCTTCGAAAGCACGTACTTTGCTTGATTCTTTTTTAAGTACCCGATTTACATGTATAATATCTCTGCATTGCTTGTCATATGTTTTAGGTTTTACTTTTTGATTAAGTAAACTCTTACAAAGCAAAATAATGCATAAAAATCGGGCGCAAGCTTTAGTTAATGATGTAATCGCGGTCTTGTATGAAAAAAGAGAAAATGTAGATATATCCTCTTTAAATATTTACAAAGAAATAGCAGTAATATACTAAGTGACATAGAAATCCGAACACCCAGTTTAAATGGTTTTATTTTAATAAAATTTTGTATAAGTACTTAATGAAGCATAATAAGTAAATGATAAAAATTTCAAAGGGTATCAAGATAGGGTAAAAGATGGGGTTCTAGAACTTCGTGGATATAACGCTGCGCGTTCATGTTACCTCTGATGAAGATTAAAGGTGACCTGGAACCATAAGCTATAGCACCCCAAACCATAACTCCAACAGTGTGATGAACATGTCTTTCAACAAAAAACTGTGGATTCCTCCTTTCACCACGTCGCCTTCTAACCCTGGCACGACCATCGTGCATGCCAAAACCGTTGTCTGCACCACTCAAGGAGATTACGTCGGTGTTCTCGAGTTAAAGCGAGGACCCAGTGTAGCCGGTATGAAAACAAGCCAAAACTTCTCATTCGTCGGTAAACACTTCGCATGCCAATAGGTCTTGTCCGTGTTCTGCAAACCATTCATTTGCAATGGACCTGGTAGTGGTCCCTTAAGGCCAATAATCTTAGGCGGCGATCTTCACGGTCTGTTGTTCTACGGCGGCGTCCAGTGCCCCTTGCTCTTTGCTTAAGCTGAACATTTTTTCACTTGTTATTTACAGTAAGATAAATACATTCACCAACTTTTATTAAAATAAAACCATTTAAACTGGGTGTTCGGATTTATATGTCACTTAGTATACATGAAAAATTAGGTTTAAACGTAGTAATTCCCAGAGTAAATTCTAGACAAACTAATCGTTTTAATGTTCCTTACTCCGACGCTCAAGAATATTTTAGAAGAAGTATTTTTATATCTTTATTAGATAACGTATTAAGTGATATTAGATTTCGATTCAATCAAAAGGTGTTTGATATACTTGAATTAAATTATTTAATTCCTGCTACTTTTTCATCTAATTTAGGAAAAGAAAATAAAAATTCTCTTGAATCTTTTAAGTTAAATTTGGTAGAATATCTGTCAAATTTTAGAAGCGAAAGTAAAGAATTAATTTTTCTGCTCCTAAGTTCAGAGCTTGATTTATGGGTAAAAAATGGAAACCTATAGTAAATTTACCCGACTCTGCATTTTTGGCTTTGGATGCATGTGACAAAAATATTTTTATAAACATTTATAACGCGCTTTATTTATTATGTGTGATGCCAGTATCAGTCGCAACGGCCGAACGACTTTGTCAACCCTCAAAAGACTGAAGTCTGGACTTCGGGCTTCAATGGGTCAAGAAAGGTTAGTTGGGCTGGCATTACTGCACATACATAGGAATATAAACATTAATAATGAACATGTTTTAGATCGTTTCATTAAAATGAAAAATAGACATACAGATTTTATTATTTAATTTTTACATGTAATAATATCATCATAATAAAAATGTCTTTAGTCTTTACAGTATATCGTCGGTTGTCGAGAACAGTGACACAACTCAAAAATCACGTTTTTTGAGATATATGCATGAATGATCGGCGAAAAGTGTATATTTTCATCACACGAACCGTCACAACTGTAGTTTGAGAAACGGCCGGTAGATAGCAGAAGTGTCACTTTTCTTTTCAGTAACTATTCACCGGGGCGTCTCAAGAAAAGTGTCATAACCTCAGTTGTGCCCGGCCTCGCAGTGTGGTAGTGCGTTATCAAGAAAAAGGACACATTTTGACTTCGGCTATGTGATCTGAACGCTGTTATCAAGAAAAGTGACACATTTTGTTTTATGACGATTTTGATAATAAGGAAGTTAGCATACTTCGTTGAGTCTTATCGTGTATGTCTTTAGTCTTCAGTTATGTCGTCCTTTCTGATAAATAGTGATTATTTTTTGACAAGACTTGATCAGTTTCATCCTAATTTTGAGTTATGACGGTGTCTTCATAAATTTACTCTGACTAAATCATACCTCGAAAAATATGTCACTTTCTTCAACACTCTAATATGCCATTTTAAATAAACATGATGATTTTGTTTTAGGTCAACTATGTACCTTTTAACAAGCTTTTTGTCGTTCTGAGAATCTTATTAGATATCTTTCCAAAAAGTGATGGATTTGAATACCAAAGCTCCACTAACTCAACGAACAAGGCTGTTAATGTAATTGTCTGCAGAAAAAGGACTTGGTGATGTAGAAAATGTGGGAATATATGGACAATCATCAGAAACTGGTAAGTTGGTTAAGTCTTGATGTCTTAAGTCAAATGTTGGAGTATTTAATTCATCCTGTAGATGCTCTTATGGAGAATCTAAACGGGTAATATTTTGGTGAAATATTTTAATGTAACTATGGCAACCTGCCCTATGCTGAAATATTTTTATATACGGTTGCTATAGTTCTAGTGAGATATTTTACGAAAATATTGCCCGTTTAGAGGCTCCATTACAAAGACAAACTTTTCCATCAATGAATTTACTTCTACAAATGTTTGAAAAAATGAAAGCTACTTGAGCTACTATTGATTCTTTTTTCTCTTTTAGGATCTGGCAAAGAACTCACAGCACCTAATTTATCACCTCCAATGGATCTACCTTGTGAGGGAGAAAATGAGTTTCCACATTTCAGAGATGTTGCAGAGATTGTAGATTCATTCTTGACAGCTAGCCCATCAAAAATAAACGATCAACTGATTGATGTCGACAATGGCCTGCTTGATTCCCTAGGCACAGAAAAGGGCGAAGAGATACATCATATTGATCACAGTCCAGAGATACATTTTCAAACATACGAGAAGCTCATAATACAGAAGTGGAGTTCGACAATATTGAGTCACTCTGTGATGACTCCGATGCAGACCCAGACTATGTTTCGTCTGAATCGGCAGAATCTTCTTCCCCCAAGTTATCAAATTTCGGAGAGCCCAAAGCAAAGAAGCCGGAAAAAGAAAAATGGATGTAGATGCTTTGCAAAAGTACATTGGAAAACTGCAACGGAATAGAGGATTCGAATACACATCGTCATCCAGCAAAATGTTCATCAAGTCCAGAGAAATGGGACCTCCCTGCCAAAATTGCCGACTGAAATGCAACGAGAAAATCTCCAGTGAGGAAAGAAAACTAATATTCTCCGATTATTGAAGTCTAGGAGATCTGCAGCGGCAACGAGATTACTTGGCAAAATGTATGGAATCTGTAACATCCAGATGTCAGTATAAAAAAGAAAATAGTAGACGTGCTAGCAATAATGCGTTCTACTTTTTTATCAGAGGAACTAAAATAAAAATATGTAAACATTTCTTCAGGCCAACTTTAGGTATTACGGCCCGTCCGATAAGAACTGTGTTGGATAAACAAAGAAGCTTCAGCAAAGGGATACTGTCGGGTGAACGGAGAGGGAAACACGGTAATCACCATCGGGTCGATGACGCTATTAAAACTGGGATTAGAAACCACATAAATTCGATACCCCGTATAGAAAGTCACTATTGTAGGGAATATTCGAATACACAATACATTGATGGGAGCAAAACAGTAGCCCAGCTACACAGGGACTACGTCGAATCGTACAAACAAGCTGAGAAACCTTACGGCAACTACCTAATGTACAGCAGAATATTCAATTCTGAATTTAATATTCCATTCTTTTCGCCTAAAAAAGACCAGTGCACGGACTGTGTTGCATTCCAAATAGCATCTGGGGAAGGCAGATAAAATTTAATTAGAGATTATGAGACTCACATTGCTGAAAAAGACCTATCACGCCAAGAAAAAAAAGAAGATAAAGAAAATAGTGAAAGCAACGTAATCGTTGCAGTTTATGATCTGCAGGCTGTACTTCAGTGTCCTAGAGGAGAGACATCAACTTTTTACTACACTTCAAAATTGAATGTTTTTAATTTTACAATTTACGAATTGAAAACAAAGGATGTCCACTGCTACATGTGGGATGACTCTGAAGGCAATAGAGGTGTCTGCGAAATAGGTACATGGGTATTAAATTACATTGAATCTCTAGAAAGTAGAGCTAATCAAATGTATAACAAGAAGATTGACCTTATCTTTTACTCTGATAATTGCCGTGGACAGCAGAAAAACCATGTTATGCTTAAAATTTACCACCATGCTGTGCAAACATACAATTTTATCAACTCAATAACGAATAAGTTCCTCATTAAAGGACATACCCAGAATGAAGGCGACAATGTCCATTCCGTGATTGAACCACAGGTCAGCCGTTCGTTAAAGTTCGGTCCCATATTTATTCCAGCCCAGTAAGTAACAATAGAACGAACGTCCAAAGTATCAGGTAGCCCTATCGAGCGCATGAGCTGAATCATGAAGACTTCCTTGGTTTAAAAGATTTTGCTTCTACGGCAGCAAGAAGCTTCACAAAAAAATGATAGAAACGAAAGTATCAAGATAACAGACATTAAAGTAGTAAAAGCGGATAAGAATAACCCTAATAAAATACTTTATAAAACATCTTATGCTGATGAATACCAAACCATTGATATAGGGCTTTCTAGATACTGCAGAAGACAAAATGTAGAAAGCGATAACACGTTGGTAATCAAAAAGCTATATCGAGTTAAACCAGGGATTACTGAAAAAAAGAAAAGCAGTATTTTAAGTTTGTTCAACCAACGAAATAACCGTTCTGTGACTCCGATGACTTACTTTCAGTATCATATTAACTTGTAAAAGGTAGTTTTACATATGCTATAAGAATGTTTGCCTGGCCATGCATCTTTGATTACTTGTTTTTTACTCTTAGAGATGTTTCTTTGTTTAGTGATATTCTGGGCATTATTATTTATTTTTATAATGTTCCATAGTTTTGCAATGGTGCTTATTATTTTTTAATTCTGTGCTGTAAAACAACCTCAATTTAGAGTGACTGTATTGTATCACTCTGTACATAAGTTTTGTTTCATACTTCCACATATCTTTTTGGAAAGAAAATAAATACAGGTTATTTACCAATGTACGTTTTACTAATAAAAAAGTTGTTAAAGAGATGGCATTGTGACTCTTATGTTTATCACGAACAACGACATACATTTACAAATATGTTGTTTTTTTAGCACTTCAAATTAAATTTCATCAGAACTTACCATGAAGAATAAGGTAGTCATATCTACAACATAAAACAATCAAAATAATTGGTGTAAATCGATTAGGAAAACAGCCAAGCTATAAAAACGATTCCCAAATATTTCAAATCGCTCTCCTGAAAATTCAAAAATTTTGATTTGTGTCACTTTTCTTGACAACCGACTTATTAGTTTTGGTTAATAAGTTTTTTGTTTGTTTTGGTTTTGTTTTGTTTTTTGTTTTGTATAAGTTTAAAGGTTTATAGTAAAATATTTGCTAGAAGTTTTATTATTTATTTTTGAGAAGTTTTAATATGTTTTATTATCTCTTTACGTAAGCAAAGCAATAAAATAATGACTTTTAAAGGAATATTTTTTTTCTGCTTTCTGCTGTAGACTTTAGACAAATCATTAATGACTTGTTTGTGTGGAATTTGGAATTTGGAATTTGGATGGAATTTTGACCCTAGGTTACTACTATGAAAATGACGAAAAAGCTTTGCAGATTTTGAAAATCGGTACAGTGGGGGCGGAATGACCGTCGGAAAACAAACAAAAATCGATTAAACTCCGTTTTTCGACATTTCTGAAGCTTTCTGATAGACTTAGGTTTTGGTCGTTGAAGACAGATCTGAAATTATTTTTCGACGTTCGAAAAACCTGTTTCATCGTTCATTTTGGATAATTTTTCCTTCAGTTGTAAGTTGTAAAGGTTTAAGCGCGACACTGACACCGATAATAGATGTTGGCGCCACCATGCGTCGAACGTTCGAAACTAAAAAGTTCATCCCATCGTGTAGGAGACGCACAGAGCACAGACGCACTTGCCAATAGTGTTGTGTCCAACGTTGTATACAGCGTTGTTGGAAGCATCGTGTGGGACCCGCATGAGACTGTTTCGTGTGGTGGTGGTGTGGTGACGGAGTCTGAAGGTCATGTTTACAAATAAAACATTTTCAATTTCTCAAAGTACCTTCGACGTTTGTTCGGGAATTCCTTGAAAATCTTGAGGCATAATGGAAACTCCTGTAGATAATAGCAAGCCAGATGAGCAGCCACAGAAGGAAAATAGTAAATCTGATGCGGCTTTCAAGAAACCTGTTTTAATAGGGAAAATAGGACGTTTGCCCAAAAAAGTTTTCCAGGATGGGAAATCAAACGAGGGACAATCCCGAAATGTAAATACGACTTCTGAAGTAAAATTTGAAACAGCTGCAACTAATACTCCAACAGGTAAATACAGTTTCAGCTTATGTTATGATTGGAATGTTTGTGAATCATTGTAACTTATTCATCCATGTGTATTAAGTATAAACATATTAGTATAGACTTTTTTTGATTCTAGCAGGTCAGAAAGCCTATCCTCCTTCCACTAAACTGGCTTTAGAAATTGAAGTGCCACTACTATATAAAGAGCCAAGTTGGGGAGGTATGCCAAAAACAATGGAAAATGATTATGTCTTGGAGGTTCTGAAAGAAGGGTCAATTATAGAAACTATTAATTTAATGAACAGGTCATACTGGGTCTTTGGAAGATTGAATGCATGCAATATTGTCATGCAACACCCAACTATATCGAGGTATACATCTTTTTTTTATGATAGATATTACCTAAGACTCCCTCTCAAAAAAGAAAGTGAAAGTGCAAATCAATAAAGCTAATAATAACGGTGACATTGTTCTGAAGTGCGAGAACCAACGGTCGTTAGAAATAATTAAGAAATCGATGGAAACTAATTTGTCAGGCAATTGCTCTGTTCAACTGCCAAAAAAGCGAAATCCTCGAATTAGAGTGATAGGTGTTAACAAAGATCAGTATGATGTTGATTCTCAAGTTCTTAAAAGCAAAATTGTGAATCAAAATAGCAGGCTCGTCAGCCATGCTGATACTGTCCTTAATATAGTATATGTTTCCAATTAAAGGTGCAAAATTTGATCTTGTTATGGAGCTAGATCCTAAGTCATATCAGTCAGTGATAGTGGAAGGGAAGTCGAATATTGGATGGGATAGATGTCGTATTTATGAGCATTTGTCAGTGACACACTGTTTTAAGTGTTGTCAGTATGGCCATATTCAAAAAAATTGTAAAAATGCATTTGTATGCCCTATTTGTGCTGGCAGTCACGAATCGAAGCAGTGTAAAAGCAAATCGTCATGCTGTATAAACTGTCTGTCTATTAATGAAAAACAAGATAAAACGCTAGATACGAACCATGCTGTGTGGGATAGTAATTGTCTGTGTTTGCAAAAACATGAGGGTCTTATACGAAGTAAGACAAATTACTTCAAACAGATAAGCGCATTATATCTAATCTCTGTTTTAATTTTTTTTCAACTTCTTCTTTTTAAAAAACTTTCCATTTTTTATCCGTTTATCTTTTTTTAATCTGTTTTTGTTTTTTTTGCTGTATTTTTAAATGACTGAATTATCAGAATTTGAAGTCATCGAAGGTGGAGAGCATAATTTGATCATAGGATGTGTAAATATTAGATCACTTGCTAGCTGTTTTTGTGATGTTAAAGATTATGTGTTGTCGCAAAATTTTGATATCATCGGATTCACCGAAACGTGGCTCACACCACACATTATTGATAATGATATCCATGTTCCAGGACTTCAGTTGTTTAGATGTGACAGGAAAGATAGGAGAGGCGGTGGAGTCACTCTCTATGTGAGAAAAGGACTGCATTGCTTCCAAGTATCTGATTTTAATTTTGCAACACAAGAGGGCCTTGAACAAATTTGGGTTAGGGTTAAAATAAACAAAAAAGCATTTACTGTGGGTGTTGTGTACAAACCTCCCAATGTTGATTATACAGCTTTGACAGGCCTGGAAGACTGTTTTGATCTAAATATCAATGTTTTGAATAAACAAGGCCTGGACTATTCATTCATGTCAACAATTTTCGATGATTTAAATTTGAATCAAATAGTAAGTCAGGAAACAAGAGTAACAGATAACAGCAGAAGTCTGATAGATTTGGTATTCGTAGATAAAAACTTATACATCACAAAAACCGGAGCTGTAAATCTACCTTTCACGGATCATTATTTGGTATACTTTTGTACAGATTATCCAGCCAACTTCTACAGATAAACATATATACGTATCCGCAATTTAAGGAAATTAGATACCAACTTACTTGCTGAGGTAGCTTCATCAATGTACTGGTTAGGAGTTATCAACTTCGAAAATCTTGAATCCAAGCTAAGCTACTTGTATGATTTGATTAATATTTTGCTAGACGTATGCGCGCCCATCAAAACAGTAAAAGTAACAAAGCCACGCTATCCTGGGATCACCCAAAACATTAAATTCATGATGAGATTGAGAAACAATGTGTATATGAAATAAAAAAAGGGGTAAGGGATGCTCTTTCTGCAGATTTGATCAATGTCAAATGGGTTTATTATAAACAACTCTTTATTTGAAGAACAAGCTTACCATGAGATGTGATCATCACTCAGCAAACCTGCGTTGTAGGATATACTCTTGACTTGCCTCGGCACCGAACAACCCAATTCAGAAAGAACTTTTCATATCTGGCGCCCGATTTCTACAATAAAGTACCTCAAGCTATGGAAAATCTATCTGTGTCCAGCTTTAAAAGAAAAGTTAGGCTCTTTGTCTTTGATGACATGTAGCATGTATTTTTATGTAATTTTATTTTTATATTTGTTTATTTGTGCATGTTTTCTCACTTGTCACTTTTCATTTGTTTGTGTTTTGTTTACGAATTTGTTACTGTTTACTTTTAATTTTTATATCTCCCGCCATATACCTAACTTTTTATTTTTTTTAAAGTTACTTCTAAGCATGGTTTCTGATTCTGCTACGTACTCTGTTGATGCACGTTTCTCTTTTGGTCTTTTGGTCATTATACCATGCATAGGCTACGATTCTGTAAAAAAATTTTTTTCTGCTTTAAATTTTCTTATTATCTTCAGTGTACTTTTTTTGTATTTGCATGTACTTGATTTTTTTTTTAGTCCTGGTTGGTTCTGAAAAACAGCTTGTGCTGATGTAACCCGCCAGGTAAAATAAAGGCCATTTATTATTATTATTATTATTACTTTTATTATTCTTGAGGTGATTTTAAGAAGGCATTCACAGGGTATAGAGGTTAGGAAAAATGTTCAGTTCTCTTAAACCTTATTCCATCATACTTTGAGCTGAACAGCTGATCACATAAGGGACATCTTTGTGTTTCTTTGTAACATTGGCAATAATGTATTTAGGGATCCTATTCAGATTGTTTACATCAGGATTCTAGAAGCTGTAAATTTACCTGTAAAAATATATAGGCACATGTTTCTGGTTTATTGTCCATCATCAGTGTAATATAATTCATCAAAAGCATATAACTAATCACATCAAAACTAATACATTCACCCAGGCCATATTATGGTGATACATCACTCAAACAGCAAAATAAAAATAAAATATACTTCTTGGAATTCCTCGATATGTAATGATGGCATAGCATCAATTTACTGACTTGGTATATCCGTATGAATATCTTACTCTCATTTTTATATTTTCTTACTTTTCAAAATTACCTGAGTAATGTTCAGACTTAATTGAGCGAATCAAACCTCTATCAACTCTGTCATATACTGCCACACATTCTGAACTAAATGTATGGCAGTTTCATTGCCCTTTAAGATCATATGGTGTTTCAGGTTCTAAAAAGTAGATATAATTAATATAGTCAAAAACTGTCTTATTTTATTCCTACCTGACTTGAAATGTAGTCATGATCATTAGTAGCCATTGTTCTTGTAGCGTTTCTTTCATATGCAAAAAAACTTTTTTAAATAAAGGAGCAGTAAGCAAGTACAAGTGTACAAAGAAGCACAACAAAATACGGGTCTGTCTACTTGGAGTTCACCGAACCCGTGGAACTAATTATGTATCCTGTGCCGATATAATGAATTTTGAAGTATTACTAGATCACTAGCTGTCTTTGTCCCATAAAGGATACTTGTGAAATAGGGTGTCCAATACTATACTTAATCATGTAATCTCATGCCTATGGCCTTAAAAGCTGATGATCCAGATGACAACTTACAGGTTTTACAATAACTTCTGTTTTTAGAATGAGGAAAAATTACCTGTGAAAAGTGTGATTTATAACTTTATGGAAACAGAAGTTATTCATAAAACCTATAAGGTAACAAAATAATTCAGCATTAAAAGAGAATTGTCAGTGTGAAATTCCTGGAGGCTCAAGACATGGTTGAGAGTGTCTATAGCAGTACATTGCCCAACTGAACTGACACTATTTTACATCTGAAAAAATATATGTGGAAGTCATAAATCTTTTTGCAAAAAAAATGTGTCAAGTAAGTTGAATGGACTGTTGCCTCTGGAAAACCCACAAATTATGAGTGGTACTTTTCTAGTTACATAGGGGCCACGGATCAGCCTACAGACAGACTGATAAAAAACAGTGACATGGTTATTTGAGATGTACATGTTTTGTAACATTTAAAAAACTTACCTCATTTCAGAATTTTTGAGAATATACAAATCTTTTCCCCCATATAGCGTGGAAAAGAGAAACACATTTTGTTATCTAACAATAAGATGGACCTTTTCAAATTAGATTTTTTACTTTCAACACATTGGGGCCTTTAATGACTAGATCTCAACTAAGTGACCTCTCCCCTGATTCCAAGGCTTGATCTGCCCTTGTCTGTAGTAATGGCTATTCCATAAGATAGCAGTAACTATACTAAGTGACATATAAATCCGAACACCCAGTTTAAATGGTTTTAGTTTAGTAAAAGTTGGTGAATGTATTTATCTTACTGTAAATAACAAGTGAAAAAATTTTCAGCCTTATCAGTTGGACATTCCGGTTTTTATACTGCTTTTTTTTAATTCACTAACGCTCTAAAAATGAATATTTCAGCCGCAGTAAAGAATCAACGTTGGCGGATTTTGGTTCTTGACATCCTTTACGATCGGTTACGATGCCCTGAGTACGGAGACCTGTACGATTTCGTCAACTTAGTGAGTTTGATAGGGGCCGTATAGTGGGACTTCGGGAAGCTGGACTTTCTTTTCGGGCAATTGCAGTTAGAGTGCAAAGAAGTGTAGACACTGTGGTTAGGTGTTGTCAGGCATGGCTTCGAGAAGGCCGTACGCAAAGAGCAAGGGGCACTGGACGCCGCCGTAGAACAACAGACCGTGAAGATCGCCGCCTAAGATTATTGGCCTTATGGGACCGTTTCTCCACTACCAGGTCCATTGCAAATGAATGGTTTGCAGAACACGGAAGACCTATTGGCATGCGAAGTGTTTACCGACGAATGAGAAGTTTTGGCTTGTTTTCATACCGGCCACACTGGGTCCTCCCTTTAACTCGAGAACACCGACGTAATCGCTTTGAGTGGTGCAGACAACGGTCACTCTGGGATCAGGAATGGAACAGTATTGTCTTTAGTGACGAGTCTCGATTTTGTTTAGGCATGCACGATGGTCGTGCCAGGGTTAGAAGGCGACGTGGTGAAAGGAGGAATCCACAGTTTTTTGTTGAAAGACATGTTCATCACACTGTTGGAGTTATGGTTTGGGGTGCTATAGCTTATGGTTCCAGGTCACCTTTAATCTTCATCAGAGGTAACATGAACGCGCAGCGTTATATCCACGAAGTTCTAGAACCCCATCTTTTACCCTATCTTGACACCCTGGCAGATCCAACTTTCCAACAAGATAATGCCCGACCACATGTTGCAAGAGTCACAATAGACTTCTTTCAACATAATGATGTCACATTGTTACCATGGCCACCAAGATCTCCCGACTTATCCCCAATTGAGCACGTGTGGGATATGATGGGTAGGAGATTGCTCAATTTGCAACGTCCTCCTCAGACTCTAGAAGCACTTCGAGAGGAGTTGGTGGTTGCCTGGAACAAGATACCACAGGAGGACATTGACCACCTGATCAGAAGCATGCCTAGGCGCGTTGGAGAATGCGTAGCGCATCAGGGTGCATCCACACATTATTAAAGGTCAAAGGGCTTTAAAGCAGTGCAATCATTTTGAAATTTTTATCATTTACTTATTATGCTTCATTAAGTACTTATACAAAATTTTATTAAAATAAAACCATTTAAACTGGGTGTTCGGATTTATATGTCACTTAGTATACATATAAACTGCTGGTAGGCAGTTCAATCTAGTCAATAAATTGAACTGTTGTAGCGCTGTTTTACCAAACCAAATTGTTTTTAAAATATTTATTTCTTAGTATAAATGCATTGTGTCTTTCAGATATCATGCTGTGTTACAATTTAGAGCAGAGGAGACAGATGCTGAACCATCTGGTTTCTACATGTTTGATTTAGGCAGTACACATGGTACATTTTTGAACAAAAACAAACTAAAGCCAAAAGCTTATACACGGATTCAGGTATGTATTTCATTTAGACTTGTTACGCAGATCTTGGGAGCTGAAAGATCCACTTTCAATCACTTCTAGTGTATCAACTACTTTATCAAAAGCACTTTTGTAATCTTCAGTTACATGTTGATGTTTGTCTGTCTGCTCTTTCACTCTAGCCTGAAGTGTTTCAATTTTTCTACGGATTTCTTCCATCTCCTTCCCTATGTCATGTTTAGTTTCTGGAGTTCTGTTTTCTAGGCAATCAGCTGGATCTAAATGCTTTTGCATTTCTGAAACATTCTTTTGATAGGAGAACTTCAAGTTTTCAATGTTTTTCTTGATCCTCATTAAGTACTCTGAACTCGAACTTAGTTTCTCTTTTAATTCTTTAAATTGTTGTTCCAACTGCTCGTTTTTCTCTTTAGCAATTTCTTTCATTGATTCTGTTTTTTCAACAAATAATTTGATTTTTTCTAGAGGATCTATGACTGCATCGTCAGGAGAAGGTTCAGTGGTGCTTTCTACATTTTGTATTGTTTCATTTTGTAGATCCTTTATATGTTTTTCAGAAGATTCAGCCATTATTTTTGTGTGAATTTTAATGTCACTCGTCATGTGACAAGAGAATTGCAAGAAACTGAAATGTCACTTTCACAGGCTGGTGCTTATTGTTTGATCAATAAATACTGTTCATACAGGATGTCACACATAAACATAATATGTAGCTCCACTGGCGGATTTAGAGGGGGGCGTGAGGGCACCCCCTCCCCTAGACGTTTGACATTTGCTTTTGCAATCTAACACCATTGTGTTACTTTCTGTCACATCATGGTGACAGAGGCATAGTAACTATAAGTTATAGCTACAGGAACTGAGCATTATGATTTTTTGGTATCCTTTGGTATTCCAAATGCTGTCTCTCTTTGACAACACTTGTTTACAGCAACTCTTACGATTTATACGTATATCCGAGTATTGTGACTTATGAAATCTGAGTCTGCGTAATATATTAGCTATACAGATTGCACTTAAAAAGTGATTTATGTTCTGTTTGTTGCTCAATAGTAATTTGAAAAGTGTGTAAAGCTTGACTGATTTTGTTCGGGGTTGGTGCTGCAGCAAAGCACTATGTTAGATGAATGCCTAAATTGGAAATAGACATTTATGCGAGTTGTTAAGCAGTGCTCCTGTGGCCTGTCTAGAAACAACAATACCACACGTCCCGCATCTCTTCTCGCGTATGTGTCTATTTATGTTGCTATATTAAATTTGTTTAAATCACAGAGCTGCTGCACTATACGTGAATATGTACAGCCCTGTATTCCTGTACTTGTTTAGTACAAACATACATTATCAAAATAATTACGATCTAACAGATATAGTTTTTTCCAAGAATTTTCAACACTTCTACATGCGATTAACACCGGTTCGAAAACTGAGAAAACAACTATGCCGTAAATCTAAGTTCGACAACGAAAGTCTGAAAAATAACTGTAACATCTATATTGAATTTCAAAAACTCCAACCCCTACTGAGCGAGGCCGTGGTAAATGCTTGTTCCGGAAGTTGTTGTATCCAGCATACAACTGTACACGCGTTAAGGAATACCTCAGTACCGATTGCCGGGTGGCGGTACAAGTCCGCCAACGGGCCACTTTAGGTCTATTTAATATCATTAAGACGCAAAAAGAAGGTGGTGACAAGGACCAGTCGACCGAGGCGGTATCACCCTACAGCTCTTATAAATGTCCGCATGTTTCCACACCTAAGCTATGCAGTCGGTTATCTTCCAAAACAAAAAAATTAATGATGATGGATCCCTCGAGTACTAAGAATTCCGGACGTAAGCTCACTCTACTCTCAGAATGTCCGGGTGGAGGGTGGACTCGAGGGAACAACATCGAAGATAAAATTTGTTTCAACATCTGCGGGATTAACAGTAACATTGATGCTGTTCATCACTACTTGCAATCCAATCGTCCCGCCATGCTTTTATTGGGGGAGACAAAAATCTCGAGTCCGCACCGATTAACCATCTTAGCTTACCAAATTACGAGGTGCACTCCAATCTGAGAAAGAACGGGGGAGTGGTGGTCTTTGTCCGCTGCAGTCTTTCCTGCTGCAGATATGTTTCTCTGGAATCAGACCGGAAGGACATTCTATGGCTTCGCCTCAACTCCAAAACATTCCCCAAATTTATTTGCTGACTTTATCGCTCCCCTCGGACCATAACTGAGATGACCTTCTTGAATACCTCGCCGTCAAGATTGACTTCCTGAACATCAATCACTCAGCTTCAAAGGTAGTTCTCCTCGGTGATTGCAATGACCATAATTTGTTTTGGTTGGGCTCAAACAAGACCGATTCAGCAGGTCGTGCAGTTAAAGCGTTCTCTCTTACTCGACGGCTGACCCAGCTGGTGACGGGTCCTACTTTTTTTGCCCTGCCTCTCGTCACATGCCAGAATCCTGCTGGATCTCTTTCTGACCACGCATCCTATCCCTTACAGCTCTGCTGTCCTGTCTTCCCTGGGTAACTCAGACCACTGTGTTGTGGAGGTTAGGTTTCGGTCAGAACCCGCTGTTTCAGCAGAAACTCGCACAGGCCGCAAAATTTGGAATTACGGACATGCCGACTGGGAGGGGCTCAGAGACTTCTTCTCTACCTTTCCTTGGAGAAATGTCCGTTTCACTGACGCGGATTCGATAGTCGAAATTATCAACGTCGGAATGGAAGGAATACATGCCTCATACTGCTGATATAATAGAAGTGCTTGATTGTGCCAGTATTTGCACCATTTACTTGATTTGTTTAATGGGCAGTTCAGAGTCTTAATCCTTAAGCTTATTACATACTAGTAGACCCCGTAGATGGTCTCAGACATCCTTCTTTCTCTTGTCTAGCGTCCATACGATAATGTGAATTTTTTGGTCTCATGTTCGTTTTCGCAGTTAAAGACATTGTTTTGTGTGGAATGGACTGGGATATGTCTTGGGGTCCCTCAGAATGTTTTATTTATTTTTTGTCGGTTAACAGAGTGTAATATTATTACACTAGTTAATTATAAATGCCACGTACTTATTTTGTTCTCATATAATAGAATATTGACTTTCTGAAGATTTCTGAGCAACTTCCATGTTTTTTTTAAGCTGGCCTTGACCAGATAGAACACAATGGATTTAAGGAGCAATAATAGTATACATTCTAGAAGTTCCACTAAGGTTAAAAAGTGACCAGCCCCAAATATCGTTTGCGCTCCCCCTAGACTAAATCCTGAATCTGCCACAATTTAATCATGGGACCCTATGCACCATCAAGTGACCATCATTTGTTAACAGATGTAGATTTTCCAGGTTATAAATACAAATTTGAAATAGACACCTATATATGAATATAATACCATCATCAATCATTTTAGGAAAGACCAATAAAAGTACCTTAGTTCCATCGCATATACAGTGAAATCCATATACCATTGACGTCGTAATGTGTATGAGAGAGAAGAGCGAGTGTTAGAAAGAGATAGATGCATCTCGTTGCCTAGAAACCCGAGTGACGCTTCTCTCTCGTCACACTACGTAAGCCAAATTTAAACCTCACCATATTTGATTTAACTGGCACTTGTTTTTGATCCAGATAGTATCTAGAGAGTCTTATTTCATTTTCAGGTTGGTCATATGCTTAAATTAGGGTGCAGTACGAGAACCTATATCCTTAGTGGTCCAGAATATGATGAGGAGGATGAATCAGAGTTGACAGTGACAGAACTAAAACAGAAAAGAGCTGAACAGATACAGAGGTTTGAGGAAGAGAAATTGAGAAGACAGCAGGAAGAAGAAGAAAGAGAACGAAAAGAGGAGGAAAAGGGAATCGATTGGGGATTAGGTGAGCAACATTCATTTTCATCTGTCTTTTAAGACCTTGTGCTTTCATTTACCAAATAATTCTGGGCTGTCATGAGAAAAGCATGGGACGAACAGTGTGTTTTCCCATAGTCCAAGCAATTATTAAATACTTGTCATTGGGTAAAATATGGATGTTTTAAATGAGAAAATAATTTTTTTAACAGGTGAAGACGCGGACGAAGCCTCAGACCTAAGTGTCAATCCGTACGCTCAGACAGCCAATGAGGAACTTTACATAGCCGATCCCAAGAAAGCTCTGCGAGGATTTTTCGAGCGTGAAGGTTTGGAGTTAACTTATGATTGCAAAGAACATGGCATGGGACAATTTCACTGCACAGTGGAACTACCATTGGATGATGACATGGGTAGGCCTGTTGTTGCAGAGGTTATTCACAAGTGAGTTGAATATCGCTTTTAGATGCAATGTTCAGCTATACATCAGGTAACCAAATAAGTTCGAGCAGTTTTTAGTAGAAAAATATAAATTTTAATTGAGAAACAATATTTTTTATTCGTCGAAGTAATTGCCATCACATTCAATGACCTTTTGCCAACGTGGAATCAATTTTTTTGCCAGTATTGTAGAACTCCCTGGATTTGGAGTAAAAAAATTGTCGGACTGCATTTATTACACCATCTCGACTCGTGAACTGTCGGTGCCTCATACAGTTGTCAAGAGACAAACAAAAAAGTCATCTGGGCGAAATGTCGGGAGAATATGGCGGGTGCGGTAATGTTTCCCAGCCGAGTTCAGAAATTTTTTCTCGGGTCACTTTTGCGGTATGAGGCTTGGTGTTATCCTTTCTTCAGATTGATCAAAGAAGGCTGTTTCTGGATGAGTGCTGCTTGTACTCGTTGAAGCTGCTCACAATACAAGTTAGCAGTGATGGTTTGACCCCTCTCCAAAAACTCATAATGGACAATTCCAGTAGCTGTCCACCAAACACACAACAAAACCTTGTTTGGGTGCAAGGAAGCCTTGGGCGTGTGTGGCCACGAATCAGTAGTCGACAATCAATGATACGAACGCTTAGAATTCGAATACAAGATCCATTTTTCGTCGCAGGTCAATAACCGATTAAGAAATGATTCATTAGCGTTGCGTGAAATGTTTGCTGAACAAATGGTAGGCGACTTAATTTGTTATCATTTGTCAGTTCATGTGGGACCCATTTGCTTAACTTCCACGTCTTTCCTAGCTGATGAAGATGCAAACAAATAGTTTCAGGACTCACTCTGAACATTTCTGCAAGTTCTTGGCACGTTTTCATGGAATTTGCGTCCACAACCTGTCGAAGATCCTCATTGTTCATGATTTTTGGTGCTCCCTGAATGCGGTTCATTGCTCAAACTGACATCTCACGAAGAACATTTTTTGAACCACTTCTGTGCTGTTCGATCACTAATGGCATCATCTCCGAATGCGGTACATATTTTTCGCGCCGCCGCTGCAGCTTTTGTACCAAGTTTGTACTCATACAGTAAACAACTTCGAATTACTCGTATATTCGTCGCCATTTTCAATTATTAAAACTAGGTATGTAACAATTTTCAGCAATTTTTGTGTGTGAGAAAAGAAGGATTCATACTAAAGTGACAACAGGTAACAAACAATCTCTATCGATCAACAACATCCATGGCAATGTGCACGAACTTATTTAGTTAACTGATAGTTTTTTAACACCACATCTTTGCAATCATGAATAGTGAATCTCATCATTATAAAAAATTGCAAATCAGACCTAGAAGTTGTCATTTGAATAGACTGAAGCTAAAGATGTGTTTGAGTCACCGATTCATTATAATTTTTTTCACCGAACCAGGCTCGCAGGCAGAAGCTTGAATGCCAGGTCACCGCGGCTGCTATGAGGATTCCATGGAAATTTTGTTAATCCGATTTTTGAACTACCTAAGGTTAGTAGAACTGGGAAGAGCCTCCTATAGTAGATCGTTCCACAATCTGGATACCCTCGGGGCAAAGGAGCGGTCGAATAGGCCAGTTATGGATGTATGAAGTTCGATACGGTTAGAATAAGAGGCCGAAGTCAGGCGGGTCTGTCTGGCAGGCACATAACTCGGTGGCATCAAGGAGAAGAGCTGTGAGGAGCAAAGCCCGTTGGTGTAGCGGTAGAACAGAGCTAGATCTCCGGTGCGAAAGGGTCCCGAGAATGTCTGTTAGAGAAGAGTCATCGATCAGTCGTCAGCACCGCACACGTGCGTGCAGTGCTCGAGCCTAGGGCGTATCTGGGCCTTATATAGAGTGAGGAGGTCATGCGGAGAAAAGTACTTCTTAGCCGTAAGCAAATAGCCGAGCTTTTTCCCAGCAGCTGCCGCTATTGACGAGATGTGTTCGTGCCAGATCAATGGTTTGTTCGTACAATAGTCGGTAACTTGTCGGTGACTGTCAAAATCAGAATCAGAGAGATGTTACCTGTTCGTACAGTTTCTGACTGTTGGCCGACAGCTAATCCGCTGTTCGTACAGAACCTTCTGACAGATCAGAGGACACCAGTCAACCAGTGACAGTCACAAGTATCAGAGTGTGTCGGAACTATCTTGACGACTAAAATTGCTTCGCAAGACTCATTTAATGAACTTTTCTCTAATGGACGGTCTGGGGACACCTTCGTACCAACGGGCCGTTGGCAGTCTAGCTATGCCAACGGGCTTTGCTCCTCAGAGCTCTCTTCCATGGTGTCGCCCCACGATATGCCTACCTAACTTCGGCCTCCCATCGTAAGCGTGTCGAACTTCGTATATCCAGAACTGGCCGATACGACCGCTCCTTTGTCCCGAGGGTGTCCGAGATCGTATAACAATCTACATGAGGAGATTTTCCAAGTTCTACTAACTTTAGGCAGTTCAAAAATGGGAATAACTAAAGTTTCTTCAAGCTCCTGAAAGCAGCGGCGGTGCCTTGGCATGTAGGATTCACCTGCGCGGCTGCTTTGGTGTAAAAAAATGAAACCCAAAAACCTTAATTTTGTAGAGAAAACAGTGCCACAATTCAACAGAAACAAGTTTTTGTAACATTTTCGGGTGAGCAAGTAGCAGAAGAAATTTTAATGAAATTCAATTTTAAATATCAGCCACGCTAAAGTGCTTTGTGCTCAATATTTTGCTTATTGACCAGGTAATGGCAAAATGAAGATTATGAATACAGTATGAAAAATCCGAACAATAGAGGACATAACTTTCCAGAACCGTAATTAATTAATACGACTTTTGTGATCACTTATCTTTTGAAAATTTTTGTTACAGTTGCAAAATGCGTAATTACGCGATTTAAGTCTTACTTCTATGTATGGGGTTGTCCAAAACGAACGCAGGAAAGTAAACGCATATTAAAACAAGAAAGATTGATATTCAAATCAAGTTGGGTACTTTATTTTGAAGGTTCATTTATACCATTTATGTATGAAAAATAATATCGCTCAAATGTTCACCATGACAGACGTCCACGCGATGGTCGAAATTTTCAATGACATTTTGCAACATGGTCGGTTCTATGGCATTTATCTCGGCAATGATGTTGTTTTTGAGTTCTTGGAGGGTGGCTGGTTTGTTGACGTAGACTTTGCTTTTCAAATATCCCCATAAAAAGAAGTCCAAGGGAGTCAAATCGCACGATCTTGGTGGCCATGGCACATTACCTCTGCGCGAAATCACGCGATCACCGAAGAAGGACTGCAATCGATGGATATTGACGTTAGTTGTGTGGCATGTTGCACCGTCTTGTTGGAAATAAACATCGTCCATATCCATTCCTTCAAGTTGCGGCAAAAATAGTCCTCTATCATCACGTGATATCGCTCAGAATTGACGGTAACGGCGTCCCCGGCCGTATTTTCGAAAAAGTAAGGTCCGATGATGCCTTTTGACCACAATGCACACCACACAGTCACTTTTTGAGGATGCATCGGCTGCTCTTGATACTCACGGGGATTTTCGTTCTCCCAGATGCGGCAGTTTTGCTTGTTTACCGTCCCCTTCAAAGTGAAATGCGCTTCGTCGCTGAACATGATTTTTTATGAAAAATTGGCATCAATTTGGCGGTGTTCAAGGAGCCAATCTGAGAACGCTCGGCGCGAAAAATTGTCTGCCCTACGCAGCTCTTGCGTCAGTTGGATCTTGTAGGCGTGTACATTCAAATCCTTGTGGAGAATGCGGAGCAAACTGGTTCTCGAAATGCCCAATTCTTGGGATCGACGCGTTGTTGATTGTTTCGGATCGTCTCTCACACTCTCCTTCACAACAGCAATATTTTCCGGTGTGCGAACACTCCTTGGCCGGCCAGAGCCTGGCAGATTTGCCACAGAACCTGTTGCCTCGAATTTACGCACCAGACGACCGGTGGTTGTTTCGTTTGGGCGGTTGTTGCGACCGAAATGTTCACGAAGCGCGCGAAACGTGTTTTTTTATTTTTGCACCATTTTTGTAGTGCTCTTGAATAACTTTAATGCGGTCTTCAATCGAATACGACTCCATAGCGATCAATGGTAAACATTCAACTAACAAAATGACATGTCGGTGACAGAAAACAAAGATGGCGTCTATGTCAAATTGACGTTTACTTTCCTGCGTCCCTATTGGACAACCCTTTATTTTCGTAGTTTCAGTTCTTTTGGTCCATGTTGAGAACTCTGTGAAACTTCTAGCTATGCAAGCAGATCTTGATAATTGTAGTTATGTTCAGCCGTTTTAGCTTTTTAGTGTATAACACCCTTTGTTATTCAAAGACGTTATTAAATCCTTGTAGTGTTTTCACTTCTTTCTTCTAGTAAGAGTCTGCATATACAGCGTGTTTCTAATTTGGCACTCACCATTGGGATCTTGGAAACTGGGAGGATACGAACTCGCTTAAATGGGGTAGTCAACAGAGTGACACTTAGAAGGTTTCGAAATTCAAAGTACTTCCGTAGAGTAACGGAAAAACTGAATTTTCCCAAAATTGTTCTGATTTCTTTCCTGACTTTATTTATATTGGGATTTTAAAATAAATTGCACATTAACAGTGCCACGTTTTCTTCTCTCCAAGAAGGCATAATCAGAATTTCTATACGCCGGTTCGTCTCTTGTCCTCCCGCATCAACTTTATTATTTCTTAAGCACGCTATATTGCATTTTTGCACAGATGAATAGTTTTTAATTTGGATTCAAAAAATGCATAATATGTCATTCATTGACGTCGTCAAACCTTGATTACTTTAAGAAAAACAGAATTTCTTAGGTAGGCCTTGAAACTATCAGATGTTTGTTTCGCTCACCAGATTTATCCCAAAAACCGCTCTATTTTTTCCCGGCTCTGTTCGAGATGGGATTTCAAAGTAAATTGCATATTGTCATTGTTACTTATTCTCGTCTGCAATGTGGCGTACTCAAATTATCAATAAGACGTTATTTCATTCGACTCCATCATCAAATTTGTTTTTTTATACGGACACTATATTGGAATTTTCTATATTTAAATGGACTTTTTAAGCCTTAAATTCAGTGATTGTTAGTTGACCATAAATTTATTGTTGGATGAAAATTAAAAGGAAATAAAAAGATATGGTGAAACCTGAATACGAAATGAAAATTTTATGGATGGTAATAACAATAATAACCATAAATAAGCAGAGGTATTCACAGTCTTCCAAACTCTGTTGCTATGCAAACAAATGACATCTAATAATTTCAAGGCCTACCTAGGAACTTCTGAAATGACTAAGGTTTTGCAATGTCAATGTATGACATACATTTTTTAAATGGGAATAAAATTCTATTCATGTATGTAAGAATCCAATATGGCGTGTATAAGAAAAGAATGCTGGAGGATAAGAGACGAAACGTCATATTGAAATTCTAATTGTGCCGTCTTGTAGAGGAGAAAATGTGGCAGAGTTCATATGCAATTTATTTTGAAATCCCACCTCAAATAAAGTCAGGAGAAAATTAAAACCATTTTAGGAAATTTCGTTTTTACGTGTCTTTCCGGAAGTGTCTTCGTATCCCTTGAAGTTTCCGACATCCCAATGGTGAGGGTCGAATTTAAAATAACCGGTATAGGGAAAATATTATTTTCACCCCAGCAGAAACAGTCACTCCCTCTCCGTAGGCACCCGTGAGAAAAAGCTGTATCACAAAATCTCCAGAATTCGTTATTTTGTTTATTTTTTCATCAGCTTTGGGTTGGACTTACATAGCTAGAATATATAAATACTGTTTGTGCATACACTTCGAGGCTGGGCGACAAGGGAACAGGGAACAAAAACCCTACTGTCCGAGTTTTATTAAAAGTCATTAAAAATACTTTGTACATTTCTCATGCGTAATCACTGCAGACGTTTATTCAGAATTCTTACTATATATTTACTTTTTCAACTTGCCATTCGGTGTTTAGAATCATATTTCTTCGAATTTATGTTTATACTTTATATATGAGAATTGAATGGTAATTACTGAGTAAATCTACTTGACATTTTTGGGTGCTGTTAATTTTTCTAGAAAGTGTCCATGTTTTTATCTCTAAAGGAAAATTCGGGCACATTTGGACAGTTGGACGAAGAATCCTAGATCATTCTGGTTTACAGCAAATGAACCCCCAACTTTTTCAAAATTGTCTACTTCATTATGAAAAATTATACATCCAAATAATTTTTGTACTTGGTTTCGAGCTCTGAAAACTTACTGGAAAATTATCTGCTGACTGATTTGACAGTCATCAAACAGTCAGAAGTTTCTGTACGAATAGCGGATTAGTTGTCGCTAATCGGTCTGACCTCCCTCAGCCAACTCGTAACGTTCTCATGTACGCAATTAATACAGTCAGCGACATGTCAGTGACAGCTAACTGCATAAACTAGGTCATGACTTGTCGCCGACTATCAGTTTGCTGATTGTCAGCAAACAGGCTGTACGAACAAACCATAAGTCCTCGGTGATCTGGACTCCGACCAGCCGAAATGAACGGCTATTTTATGTCTTGAGTACTGAATTGTGAAAATTCATTTCACTTTTTTTTATGTATTAATCAACATTTTTCTGGTAGTTGATCATTTATTACCTTTTGCAGGGGAAAAAAGAAAGAAGCAGTAATACAATGTGCCTTGGAAGCGTGTAGGATCCTCGATAGTCATGGCGTGTTGAGGCAGGCAACACATGGCAAGTTTTATTTAATTTACCTAAGATAACAACTAATTTTTAACATAATTTTGTTTCTAGAATCTCGTAAAAGAAAAGCGAAAAACTGGGAGGAAAATGACTATTATGACAGTGATGAGGATATTTTCCTTGACCGAACAGGCACAATCGAGAAGAAACGGGAAAAGAGGATGAATGCTAAAGCATCACCAAAAGCAGAAACCTACGACAGTTTGGTAAGATCTGTTTCGATCGAACCTGCCAAATAGTTAATGATTTGTTGTGTTACTTCATCAGTTATAACATTTGATACATAAGTATTTTACTATCAAACTCTTATTACTCTGATAATTTCAGCTTGAAAAGGAAAAATCTATCTCCTCCTCAATATCGGACATAGAGAAGCAACTCGTTTCAATACAAACAAATTCCTTTTCTGAATCAACAGAACCTTCAGAAGAAGATTCGCTGGACACTTTCATGAAGGGGTTGTCAGCCAGTAAACCTAACAAATTAGAAATAAACAAGTTGAAGCGTGAACTGTTGAGATTGAAATCGGAACATGCCAAAGTTATAAGATTAGTGAATATTGCTAGACCTGCAGAATTACCACCATTGATAGCTAAATATGACACGATACAGAAGGAGGTGGTGGTCAGTATATTTTTTGTTTCAAAACTCGAATTTTCGCAAAACGGTACTTTTCATTTTAATTCACATTTTGAATTATAGGTAAAAACTAAAAGTATGCCAATGATTGGAAAGAGGAAAAAAATAAAAGTACAGGTGCCTACAAAATCTAACGAGGTTTGTGTTGCTAATGATTTGGATGATGAAGAAGAGGAAGGTGAGGACGACAATAAGAGAGATGGCCAGGATACACAAGAAAAAGGAGAACTGGAAATATCACTTGGAGGAACAGAGTCGGATGAAACGAAACCGAATAACCAAGAGCATGACGTCAGTTTTCAGGATCAGGTATGTTTTCATTTGTTTAATAATTTCTTAAATGTTGACAAATATTTCATATATCACATTTCATTCTATTTGTTAAAGGGTCACGATTAAACGATTCGGATAAAACTGAAGATCGGAAATGGTTGTCGTTTTAGTATACACGTAAAAAAAGAGAATATGTAGTTTAGGTTTTTCGGGCTGTTGAGCCGTGGTCGTGTTGGATTTGGTCCAGAGCTTTCGTCTACACCTGCGGTAGCCTTCTTCAGTGGCGCTATCGGCGAGAGCGAAGTGCTCGGCTGGGCGGGTCGACTGACACTGATCGGTTATTTTTTTTTTTTTTTTTTTTTTTTTTTGGGGAATGCATTTACGCACCATACCATAGCACGAGCTACGACGTGTGTGGGGCTCCAGGGTCTTGAAGAGATCACCTAATACCCACTAAACCCTAAACCTCCGCGTGGCCCGACTCATCAGCGTCTCGGTAGGCCATGTGTTGTGCGTGACCTGCGGTCTGCTACAACGTCTCCTCATGTGTTTCAGTCTCTGGGAACGCCGGGTTGGTTCCCTTTACCTCGCACATTCTATCGATGTCGTTAAGCGATCATCGATAGAGGGTCTGCTAGTTTCTAGAGTTTCAAGTCATCTTACCAATATGTTGTTCCTGGTCCTGGTCCTGAAGGGTCCTGGTCCTGGTGGGTCCTGGTCGTGGCGGGTCCTGGTCCTGGTTGGTCCTGGTCCCGGTGGGTCCTGGTCCCGGTGGTTCCTGGTCCTCTGCATCCACGCCGTGGGGGGGGGGAGCAGCCGCAGTTCTCCTAGTCTCCTAGTCAAGGTTCCAGTTAGCGGGTGCCAACTGGGACCTTGGTCTGGGGTACCTGGTTCTGCGGTTGCGAGGCCTCTCGTCCGGATCGTAGTCCATGAGGAATCGTAGCTGCTCGTTCGGGTGGTCCTGAGCTTTCTCGAAGGTCTTCTCCGCTTTTTTCCTCATGTACTCGTGGATGGTATCCCAATGCAGGTCTCTACGCAAGGTTGAGTTCCTTACGTAGGAAGGTGCATTGGTGGCGATCCGGAGTAGCTTCATCTCTAGAGCAGCAAGTCGCTTGCGGTAGCTGGGGGCAGCGTACCCCCAGACCGCGGAGGCGTAAGCGAGCTGAGGTCTGGCGATGGCCTTGATCAGCCGTAGCTTGGTCGCTAGCGGCATCTGGCTGTGTCTACCCAGTAATGGATAGAGTTGAGCCATGGCTGCTCTGGTTTTTGCGATGACAGCTTCTATGTGCGCTTTCCAGGTGAGGGACTTGTCAAAAACGATCCCCAGATATTTGACATTGTCGCTCCACTGGATATCTTCATCGAAGATGGATGCTTCGAGAGGTCTTGCAATCCTTCTTCGTTGAATGAAGATTGCCTGCGTCTTCTGGACGTTGATGCGGATTTTAAATCGGTTAACTGGATGAGCGCGCGGTTTTATAGGCGATCGCCGGACTGAGGACTGAGTTGTCTGGTGTGGCTACTCCCGGTCTCTTGAGTGACGTGGCTTTTGCGCTGTGTTTTTTAGAATTGGGAACCACGTTTTGTTTAAAGCAAGACATTCTTATTTTCTATTGAAATTATCATTGTGTTTGTAGATTTCAATTGCTTCTCTGTACATTCGGGCTGAGTAGTGGGTGAATGTTGAAAGGGCTTCAGTTTGGTCGAACAGAACATTGTGGCCGACTTGGAGTGCTTGGAGTGTTCGGCCACTGCTGATTTATCAGTTTGTCCCAGTCGACAGTTTCTTTCATGCTCCTTGATGCGTGTTTGGAAGCTACGTTTAGTGGTGCCTGTGTATACTTTACCACAGGAACACGGTCTTCTGTATACGCCGGCACCGCTCAGGGGGTCCCTAGGGTCTTTTACCGATATTAGGAGTTGCTGGATTTTATTTGTCAATCTTGTAGATGGTCTTGACGTTGTGTTTCTGCAGCAACCTTCCTATTTTATCCGTGATGCCTTTAATGTATGGCAGGAAGGAGACTCCCGCAGGTGGTTCATTGTCTCCTGCCGGCAGTCTGCTTTTTTGTCGTGAAATCTGTTCTATTTGTACCCTGCGATAGCCGTTTGCTTGTAAAACCACGTTAACATGATGCATGTATTGAGGTTCACAAATTCGATGTGCCCTGTCTATCATATTTTTAATGACAACTCTTTTCTGCCCAGGATGATGGTCGGAGTCCTTGTGTAGATATCTGTCAGTGTTTGTTGTTTTGCGGTAAACCCTGTGACCCAGCTTTAAGTTCTCTCGTCTGACCACCAATACGTCTAGGAAGGCCAGCTGATTGTCCTCTTCTATCTCCACTGTGAATTTGATTTTGGGGTGAATGCTGTTTAGGTGATTTTGGAACACTGCTAGTTCTGTTCTTCCGTGGTTCCATACCACGAAGGTATCATCCACATACCGTAGCCAACAACTGGGACGATTGGGAGTGGTGTTCTGTGCTGCTTCCTCGAACCTTTTCATGTAGAAATTGGCTATTACCGGGCTTAGCGGACTTCCCATTGCGACGTCGTCAGTTTGTTCTTAAAATTGATTGTTCCTCTGGAAATATGTAGTTGTTAGGGTGTGTCGAAACAAGGTCAGGATATCCTCTGGAAAAACTTGCTTCAGGTAATCCAGTGATAGGTCTAGTTGGACATTTGTGAAAAGTGACTCTACATCAAAACTTTCTTATGAAATCGGTGGCGTCCTTGACATACGACTGGCTGTGACCTATTTGAGGCTGGAGCATGCTCGTTAGATGTTTCGCTAGTTGATAAATAGGTGACCCGATCGCACTGATAAGGGGGACAGATGGCTTGTGAATTTTTGATAGACCACACAATCTGGGTGGAAGGGACTGTTTAATGATTAGACTTTCTCAGGAATTACCGCGGTGGGTCATTGCGGATGGCTTTATATGTGGCAGGGTCCACTAGTTCTCCTTTTTTTGTCAGACAGCCTACTTGCTTTAGGACTACGGTGGCGTTTCCTTTATCAGCCGGTAGAATCACTATTTCCTTATCGTCCTTAAGCTTCCTAAGGGCTAGTCGTTGCGATCGCGGCAAGTAGTTCTCCAGCGGATGTGTCTTACGAAGACATCGGGCTGTTTCGCTTCGTATTTCCACACTTATTTCCTAGACGTATTGGTGGTCAGACGAGAGAACTTAAAGCTGCGTCACAGGGTTTACCGCAAAACAACAAACACTGACAGATATCTACACAAGGACTCCAACCATCATCCTGGGGCAAAAAAGAGGTGTCATTAAAAATATGATAGATAGGGCACATCGAATTTGTGAACCTCAACACCTGCAGGGAGAACTGGATCATGTTAACATAGTTTTACAAGCAAACGGCTGTCGCAGGGAACAAATAGAACAGGATTCACGACAAAAAGCAGACCGCTGGCAGGAGACAAGGAACCACCTGCGGGATTCTCCTTCCTGCCATACATTAAAGGCATCACGGATAAAATAGGAAGGTTGCTGCAGAAACACAACGTCAAGACCATCTACAAGCCGACAAATAAAATCTAGCAACTCCTAACATCAGTAAAGGACCCTAGGGACCCCCTGAGCGGTGCCAGCGTATACAGAATACCGTGTTCATGCGGGAAAGTATAAGTAGGCACCCCTAAATGTAGCTTCCAAACACGCATCAAGGAGCATCACAGATACTGTCGACTGGGACAAACTGATAAATCAGCGGTGACCGCACACGCACTCCAAGTCGGCCACAATGTTCTGTTCGACCAAACTGAAGTCCTATCAACATCCACCCACTACTCAGCCCGAATATACAGAGAAGCAATTGAAATCTACAAACACAATGATAATTTCAATAGAAAAGAAGAAGGCCTTGCTTTAAACAAAACGTGATTCCCAATTCCAAAAAAAGCCATGTCACTAAGAGGCAAAGAGTACCGCAACCAGACAACTTAGTCCTCAGTCCGCCGATCGCCTATAAAACCGCACTCTCATCCGTTTAACCGATCAGTTTCAGTCGAACCGCCAAGCCGAGCACAACGCTCTCGCCGACAGCGCCACTGAAGATGGCTACCGCAGATGTAACCGAAAGGTCTGGACCAAATCCAACCCGACCACGTCTCAACCTAAATTACATTAGAATTAGCCGCGAAAGCCTTCATTCTTCAAAAAGAGAATATTTCAAATTACTTCAATACATTAAAGTATAATATGTATGCATTATATTGTGTTTTTTTGCAATTCAATAATAATAATATTAACCTTATAAGTTGTATCGGCTGGCATATGAGCAAAACACATATCCACATCAGCGATTCCTATTCCAGTGTCATCTTTGAATAAAATTGTTGCACCTATTATTCTTAATATAAGCAGAACTCCTTGTTTCAGACTAAAAATCCTCCAGATACCTCCTCAACTTTAAAAGATTTGCAAAAACAACAAAAACCTAGAGCTCTTAGTCCATCTTCAGATTCAGACGATGATAAAAATCCTTCAAGATTTAGTGTAAATAAGTTGGAGAACCTAGTCAAGAAAGGTCTGCCACCATTTGCAGGTAACAAATAAAAATATATTAACATTAGTCAAATAATTAACAGCCAACCTACACATGTGGGTCCGCAATATTAGTCAGGCAGCCAACTTTTTACCTTACAACCATATTGTTTTATTTGATTTCAGAAAAACATAAGACGACCTTGGAAAAAATCGTGGCAACATTCAATTCAATAATTACAAGCAATGACAAAATGCACTTGGACATCAAAAATTTGACGGTTAAGAAAAAGAGAGTAACGAAATTGTTGTCAGATTTAAAACATTCAAAATCTAACGAAAAAATGGATCAAGATGTGTCCATGCAACTGAACAACATCCTTAACGATCTAAAGTCGATTTGCAAACAGGAATCCACCGTTTCGGAGAATATGAAGATAATTCCCGATGCTGTGAATAAAGATGCGAAAGTTACTAGCGACGTGAAACCCTTTAAGCTGAAAAGTAGGTCGCTGCCACAGCAACAGATGGAAGAAGAAATCAGTTCTGACGAAGGAGGTACAAATGATGGAAAGAGGAAGAAGCGAAATCAAAGGAGGATACAACAAAGGCAGATGAAAGCTGACAAAGAGAAAGAGAAAGGATATAATGAGGATGCTCAGAAAGAGGACTATAATATGTGGGTGCCTCCTACTGATCAAAGTGGTGATGGAAGAACCCATTTGAATGTTAAGTTTGGATATTAGGCGGTTAGAACAGTGTTTTATGTATAAGAGATTTTATTGTGGAACTTTAACAATCCATCATAAAATAAATCTTTATGAACTTTTTTCCGTTTGATTTCCCTATTTGTAATTACGTCCTGATGACGTCTCCATCCCTATAATAATAATAATAATCTTTATTGGTCCAATTACAAAGTTTTCGTATAAATAATAACGGCAATGTCCAATAAACATAATATACCCAAAAAAGTGTACACTTGTGCTTGGGTTTTAACCGAAGTTGAGTTATATTAATACAACAAATTTTCGTTAAGTATACTAGTCAAATGTATAAATTTGCATCATTTTATGATCAAATGGCATATAGATTTTTAGTTTCAACAAACTTATGGATTCGTAGCCTTGGTTGATTTAGGATCCATGATTTTAATTCAATTTTTAAACGTTTTATACATGTTATGTTTCAGGTTTGCATGAATAACATTATAAAATTTTGAGCATAGAAAATAGAATGATCTTTGGCTGATAGTTTTATTAAGTCTAGGAATTAGTGCAGAGGTTTCCTTGAATCGCGTTTGATGGTTGTGGCTGATAGAAAGTAACAATTTTGGATTTTTTGTTAAATATATTATTGTATGATAAAAATAAGTTTGCCGGCAGTCGAAAAGCTGAGATTAATTGTAAAGATTTTCTGAGGGATAACATTTCTCTTTGTTAACATAACTTTCAAAATCCGCTTCTGCGTAATTTCAATCTTTTTATAATAATTATTCATGACTCCCCCCATGCTAAGATTCCGTAAGATAGTAATGATTGAACAAGAGCATGATATATCATGTGTAGATATTTTTCTCTTAAAAACTGCTGAAATATTTGACTTTTGGAATAAGGTATCTTAATTTTCTTACTAAATTTTCAATATGTTTATTCCATCTTAGATGGTTATCTATGAATACCCCTAGGTATTTGAGATTACCAACCGATTGTATGCTCCTACAGCTATTCAACGTTTTAATTTGGAGTTGATTAAAATTTGGGGAAGATCTATTGTCGCAAGAAAATGTAATAAAGTTGTCTTGCTGAAATTGACTGTTAAAATCCTTTCCGAGAAAAAAATTGTAACCCTTTGAAAATCTAATACAATTTTGTTTTTTAAAGAAGTCCAATCTTTGTCTGAGTAAATAATTGCCGTATCGTCTGCGAAACCAATAATTTTTCCATCGTTTTTTAACTTAAAGGCCATTAATCCATAAATTAAACAGCATTGGTCCTAATACGGTTCCTTGTGGAACTCCGCATCTAACAATCATATTTTCACTCAGTGTACTGTTGATGTTCACACATTGTGTCCTGTTTTCTAAATAACTTTTCATGAGTTGATAAGTGACTCCACGAAATCCTAAATGTTGCAAGGTTCTTAATAATTTTTGATGTGTAATACTATCGAATGCTTTCGTTAGGTCTACAAAAAGGCATGCTGTTGACTTATTATTATCAACGTACTTGTATATTTTGGTTGTTAACTGAATAAGTGCATCTCGACTTGATTTTGCTTCCTGGAATCCATATTGCTTT